TTCATCTGGCCGTAGGATTGCCTTGCGGGTGTGTTCCCTTGCCTTTGCGTTTCCTTTGCGTCGTACTTGCCGCCTCCTGTGGCGGGATCTTGAGAGTTGAGATGTAACCGACCAAGTAGTAAATTCGGTTAACCTGTCGGATCTGCACGTGTATAGGAAAGCTCACTAGGCTGTAGGATCTGGCCAATATATTATTCAGTTATCACTACCAACACTAGATTCGTAATTCCCAACCTTCTCCGAGCTCGTACGGCCAATGTAGTTCCGATTCTTGAGGGCAGGAAGGCACTTGCGTGTTACTGTGCAAATTGAGGTCTCTATTGATACTTAACCCAATGCCCGCTTCACGATATTCTGTATAATACAGAGTAAATGATTATCTTTATTAAACTATAGCTGCCACTTTTGCAAACTTAATGCATTGCAAGCCGTCCGCAATGGGATGTAGCGAAAACGCTGCGACCAGGTACATATAGACTGCAATCTGTCGTAGAAAAACAACAATGTGCCCACCGGCTGGTAAAATGTCATGATTTCATTGGGCAAATGTGACGTGACTTTCGTCGCATATCCTTCTACTTCGAGTATCCCGCTGAATCTGATGGGTCTGGGCAATCTGCGTTTGCGCCTAAATGACTGGCGAAGCGTGCCACTACGTCACCCGTACGCTCACCAAATTTTCGGCCAGTTCTAGACTAGCAAGAGTAGAAGAAGAACTAAGCAAGAACTGGCCGAAAAATTGGTGAGTGTACGGGCTGCATTATCTACGCCTAGTACTCGCTATCCTGGATATCCACGCAATCCTCATTCGCGTCGCTGCCGCCGTCGTCCGCTGTCGCTCGAAATCTCGAAGTTCTTTCGCTTGCGGAAGCGAATACGCTTCTTGAGGTGAGCAGGGATGGCAGTGCCGTTGCGCCACAAATCATGCCATATTTGGCCGCATGTGAGCGTGTTGCCGGTTTCCTCGTGGCGAACCTTGTTACATAGAGGTACGTAGCCTCCGAAGTTTGATGTGCACTGCTCGCAGTAGTAACTGGTTTCAAAGCTCTTTGTCTGAGGAGTTGCCAAGGCTGAGCAAACTTTGCACAAGTGCTGGCGGCGCTTGCCCTTACGCTTCTGCCCTTTACGCTGGAGGTTGCTGGCGGTTGATCCATCTCTGGTTTTTTTTCGCTTCTTGCCTTTGTATCTTTCCTCATTGTTTCGCAGTCTGTGCGGTTGCGTGTGAATAGGCTCAGAAACGAGGTCCTCGGCGTTGGTGTTTGTACGCAGTGTGGCTTCGTTCGTGGCCAAAAGCTCGGTGTGAAGTCGGTGCATATACTGCGCGTGTGTTGGCACTGGCAGCCCTTTTTGCTTGAGAATAATTTTATGTAAAATAAAACCGTTGACTATCGCCATGTCCACAAAACCCATGAAGAGTTGCCGATAGTACTTTTTGAAGGCCACAGTAAGCTGGATTGAATAGCGCTGAAGGCGGAGTTGATCATGGCGATCTACTCCGCCCATACCTTGGTGATAATCAACCACAAGCTGCGGGCACGGTACCGCAACACGCTCTGTCTCCCCCTTCGCTCTACGCATTACAGTCGTTGGAACTGTAGAGCATCCCGTCGCGAGGAGCGCGACAGGCTTGCTGTCCATCCAGCTCAGTGCACGAGACCAGGATGATCACGCGCGTGCGCAATTCGATACAAGCCTCGGGGCATAATCTTCGGTCTTTTCTTTTGCGTAAAAGCAAACGGCTTGGGCCACCCAAGCCGCTCGTTGCGGTGAGTACCGACGTAGTAGATATCCTTGTCCAATAACTCCAGCAATAGAGCACACGACGTGTAAAAATTGTCGGCGATGATAAGCCTTTTATGGGCCTGGCCATCAAGCGCCTTAGTCACGTTCCTGATGACTGCCTTCTGTGCCACACCTTTCGAGTTCTCTACAGCGCCGAGATACACTTCCATCCTATATGTTACACAATACAGCATACGGTTAGCACTCGGTTTCTTATTCTATACGATACAGAGTAACCAGATACAGAATACAGTAAACCACCTACCGAGTACAGTATCCGGTCTCCGCGCAGCACGTCATGTACACTTTAGTCCCGTACTTGTGAGGCTTCTCCTTATTATAGACGCGCACAGGGCTGAACTTGCTTCTGTTAGGAATGGTTCCTTCATCAAAACTGATGCGAGGCCCTAGCCGATAGCCACGACGAAACGTTTTTTCAAGAACCTGAAGAATGGGCCGAACTTTCCAAGCCTTGTCTGTGGCTGCGGCAGCAGGGTCGTTTCTGTTTTGGTGAAATGTAAGTTAATGGGTAACTAACCGGAAACTTTTTAGGCTTTAGGGAATTCGCGAAAAAGAGTAACCGCGCGGAAAATGCACCGTCCTCCCGCGCCCCCCCAGTGTTTTTTTCCAGCCCATCCCTATGACCACAGAGTGTACGAGTAATCAGAAGCCAATCACGTGGAGAATTTCATGTGCTTGAATGGCTTCACATTGCGCAGCTTCTCTTCTAAGACTTCTACGTAGGTTGAACCGACTTCACAGGATCCCTGCGCTGAGCCTGTAGCTGCTTGTCTCGTTGCGCCTTCGCCACAGCAGGAATACACTCCTCTCGATACGCGTTAGACTCCTTTGCAACGCAAACCACATCTTCTTGGAAAGAAAATAGAAGAAAATTCCCAAAGGAGACTCGGCGAACGCAGCGGCAGATCTGGTGGGACCAAAACTTCCGTCGTACAACTCCGCTGCATCTAACACCACATCACCTGTATTCAGTAAAATACAGAATTAGATTTTGATATGATCCGCAATTCTGTATGTGCTGCACTTACCGGAATGATGCTCATCGTATATATCCCAACCTGTGGCTGTGAGTTGACGCATATTGGTGTCGTCTTGCAGGAACGCGCTGGAGTCGTCATCAAAGTCGCTGTCAGAATCTACCTCGCTTTCATACACTGATTCAGGCTCCGCAGGAACGTCCAGTTCTTCCTCAGTACCCAACTCGCTACTAACATCACTTGCGGATCCATATCCAACGTTGATATCTGCAGGATCAATCTTATCAAAGAGCAGCTCTCCACGTAACGCATCCATATAGCTATCACAATCAAATTCATCCAAGCCATTCGCAACACCACTGCCACGTTTCGATTCTTCTTTGCCGTGACCCACGGATGGCCGTGTCGTCAAATTCGGTATCCGACAGAATATGAACACCCGCTGGTCCAGCTTGTTCTGTATCCCTCCGGAAAAATTTCACAACTGATAGCTTCTGGATCTGTACCAGCCGATACCAGGATTTTCGACAAAGTGGCCTTCCTTCTGTAACAATCTACAATCGACCTCGCTTGTTCTGGTATCCTTTGGCAATAGCCACACGAACCGGCTGAACTTGTTCTGTATCCTCAGTAGTAACACAAACGGAGGACCGATCTTGTTCTGTATCCTCTGCAATATCATCAGCAATCGGTCGGACTTGTTCTGTATCCTCCGTAGTAACGTCGACAGTATGTTGATGCTCTGAGCGGGATGGAAAATACTGACGGTCCAAGTTGTCGTCACTTGTGGTGAGGGGGAATTGGGTTCTTGTCGTTTGGCTGCTGTGTACGCTGCAAGCTTCCCCATTGGAGGCCTCATCGGACGTATCATACATTGTTGAGGGGGGAAAGGTACTAGACCCTCACGCAGAGCATACTTCCACAAAGGCTTGGGACCTACACCACACAGGAGATATAGAGGGAGTAGTTATTACTGCTAAACACAACGTACCGATAAAGTAATCAGTGTCAGCCTTGTAGTTGTCTAGCTTTCCTTTCACGCCAGGCTTGAGATACGCATGATCGGAGAGGAGGCCTGAAGGGGGTCTTGCCCGCCAACCAGCCTTTTTTAGCGACCCCCACAGACGCTTGAACTCCTTCCTGTCGATCGTTTCCGGCATTTTTGGTTGAGTGGTGGAGGTTTTGGGCAGAGAGGTGTGGTGTAGGGATTTCCAGATTCGACCATACGCCGACCTACTTTAGGTCAAGAATCGGCTCGGTCTGATAACCCAGAGCTTAGGAGCCAAGGATCACGGTAAGTACTCGGCGATCTGTCCGGATATGCTATCCGGATAGCCGCTGAGCTCAACGGCCGCCT